CACAACCATTCATGATATAGATGCACACACAACCATGCATGGTATGGGTGTGCTATCTTCCCCTATTGGTATCATGTAAATGTGGAAGACAGCTTCTTCCTCCTCTTCCTTTCTCAAGCTCCATGCTTCTGTGAGGCTCAAAACCAACACAGAGCCAGACCACAGGAGAGACATACTCTTACTTAACAAGCGTTCATTACCTTTTCTTCCGAGTCCCCCGGCTGGCAGGTAATCACTCCATCTCTCGAGCCACCTGCAAATGTTGCCTTACAGTTGGCAAGCCACTGTTGTCAAGAAAAAGAGACATGAGACATGGGTAGATCCACAGATGTCCTGAGAACATTTAAATTGTGGAGTTTGCCAGGAAGACTTGATCAGGCTTCTAACAAGAGTAAATACAAGTTTGCTGGAATGACTTTTAGGAAAGGAATCTTGAAAGGTTAAAGATTTGCTGAAATTAAAATACTTGCCATAGGTTCACAATTTCTTTGTAAGATTTACTTATTTTTATTATATATATGCCTGATATGCCCTGTGCCTGTGGGGCAAGAGAGGGGTTAGATTTCCTGGGATCACAGTTACAGACGCTTGTGAGCCATTATATGGTCATATGGATGCTGGGAACCAAATCTGGTCCTCTGCAATAGCAGCCAGTGCTCTAAACTGCTGCTGTCTAAACTCTCTTGTCCCTTAAAATAAAATTTCATGACCACATGTAGTACATGCCTTTAATCCTAGCACTTGGGAGACAGAGGCAGACAGATATTTGAATTTAAGGCCAGCCTGGTCTTGAGTTTTGTTTTTTAAACTAGATCATTCCTGATTTTGGTATGAATGAAAATAAATACTTATATGTAGCAGGATACTTATACTGCTACATTGTATTCTCAGTGGAGCTCGGTGATTAGGCAGTAGAAGAGGAGGTGGAGCTGGGAGAAGAGTGGAAGGGGAGGGGAGAAATGGAGGAAGGGGAGGAGAAGAAGGAGGCTATCAGTGATGGAGAACCACAGATGGGTCGACAGCTGTCCTGGGTAACAACTTCTATCAAAAGGTTAGATATTGGGTGACAACTCTAATGTGTGGGCATCTTGTTGATTGAGCATTTCTAAATATATAAATCCTTTAGATGATCATTAAACTATAAGAGTCTCATTTCTACCGGGTACTGCGAGGATGGCAGATATTGTCTGGGGTTCAGCCGAGCTTTCTGGATGCAGCGTGGGGGATTGGCAGAGTCATCCCCCATGCTGGTGTCTTGTGGGTGCCAGGGCCTGCACATCTAGCTAGCCGGAGCCCCAGTCAGAGCCAAGGAGCATAGGGAACATGGTGGCTGCCCGGGAACAAGCTGGACTGGGCACTGTTTTCTAAATATCACCCCCCTACATTTACATGGTTAGAATAATTTCATACAGCTAAAATTAGGAAATAGGACTAACACTTCTCACAAGTGAGAATATTTTGGTCTTGCTGCGTAAGCACTTCATCTCCATTGTGATCAGGAGGCTGCCATGGGGCAGGCTTCTGCCCCTGGAAGAAAGGCCATTACAGCCATGGCTCAGCCATTTTGATGGAGATTCCACATAAGCATGTGGGTACTACTTACACAGGTGTGAAATAGGCTCTTCAGATACAACATAGTGAGCCCTGAAATTCCCACCTGACACCAACAGGTTAATTCGCTTGACCAGCCAGAGAGAGAGGATTGTTCTGATCAGCTGACAGCTGGTAAATATGGGTAGGTGGCAAGCCACAGAAATAAGACTCGGGAGTTATGGTGCAGTCTCAGAACTTTTGCCCTCAGAAAACTCATGGGGGATAAGAATAATAACCGCATTCCAGCAGGGGCAGGCACATCTCTGAGTTTGAGGCCATGGTCTACAGGGTTCCAAGACAGCCAGAGCTACACAGAGAAACCCTGTCTCTAAAAAATCGAAACAAGAGATCACTACCGCCACCACCACCACCACCACCACCACCACCACCACCACCACCACCGCATAATCAGGGAAAATATGCAAGTCAGTGAGCTGTCAGCCATACAGAATGGACTCAGGACATGACAGCTTCTATGACTGTCATAACTCATAACTTCACAGTAATTTGCAAATGAGATATTATTATCAGATGACCAATAAGAGATGGTAACTGAGCTTTGATTTGAACTGAAGTCCATCTGACTTAAATCTATATTCTTTCTTACAGTGTCTGGAGAATTTTATTGGAGGACAAAGATACAATAGGTGTCATATGTACACCTTGTCATAGATACAATAGGTGTCATATGTACACCTTGTCATAGATACAATAGGTGTCATACATACACCTTGTCACATTTTTTTACAGCTGACTCCCTGAGTCTCTGGGCCGCTCCCTGTCAGAAAGCAGGCGGTTTGCACGGAATGGCTTCTAGATCTATCATGGAGGTGGGGGATAAAAGAGTAAAGAGTAACAACTAGAACCAAGCGAAGCCATGAGGACAGGGAGAGAAAGCTGCTCAGAGCAGAGGAGGATCTGTGTGAAGCTAACACAAGAAGGAGGGGCACCGGTTACCTTTTTTTGTCAACTTGACACAAACATAGACATAACTTGGAGGAGGGAATCTCAGCTGAGAAATCCACTCCATCAGATCAATCGGCTGGCAAGTCTATGGGGGCATTTTCTTAACTAGTGATTGATATGGGAAAAACCAGTCCACTGTGGGCAGTAGCAGCCCTAGGCAGGTGGTCCTGGGTGATGTAAAAAAGCAGGTTGAGAGAGCCATGGAAAGCAAGCCAGTAATAAGTAACACTCCTCCATGGCTTCTGCTTCAGTTCTTGCTTCCAGGTTCCTACCCTGACTTCCTTTCATAATGACCTCTAAGAATCAAACAAGCCTGTCTCTAATCCAAGTACTTCTGGCCATGGTCTTTATCACAGACTAGAGATCTAAATTCAAATCTTGGATAAAGGGAACTAGTTCTAATGCATCTCGAGGGACATACTGAGCAGTTACAAATGTATGTGCTGGGGCTGGAGAGATGGCTCAGTGGTTAAGAGCACTGACTGCTCTTCCAGAGGTCCTGAGTTCAATTCCCAGCAACCACATGGTGGCTCACAACCATCTGTAATAAGATCTGATGCCCTCTTCTGGTTTGTCTGAAGACAGCAACAGTGTACTCACATACATAAAATAAATAAATCTTTAAAAATAAACAAAAACCCAAACGTATGTGCTGGTTTCTTGGTGGGGACCTTAGTGGGGTAAAGTTGAAAGCTGAACATTGATTGCTCTTTCCTTGGTTCTATTTGAGCCTTTTGGCCTTTTGACCAAAGTTACCTGCATTTGGGTACAGCCAGTCTTTTTTTTTTTTTTTTTGGTTTTTTGAGACAGGGTTTCTCTGTGTAGCCCTGGCTGTCCTGGAACTCATTCGGTAGACCAGGCTGGCCTGGAACTCAGAAATCCGCCTGCCTCTGCCTCCCAAGTGCTGGGATTAAAGGCGTGCGCCACCACCGCCCGGCTGGTACAGCCAGTCTTAAATGTAGTTCTGTCACTCTGAAACAGGAACAGGCAATACACACACACACACACACACACACACACACACACACACACACACACGGCTGTGCTCTTTCCATTGTAACTGACTGCCATGCACAGAAACACAGGCTTACCGAGAGCGTGGCCTCTTTCCTGTTGTTGTACGTGTCCAAATACTCTTGCAGTTCCAGCACACTGAACTTCAGCTTGTCCAGGAGCCCACAGGAAAGGAGCTAAAGACAGGAAAACAGTTTGCTTTAAAAACGGATGAAAGTGCCAACAGGAACGTCTAGTATACAAACAGAAAAAAAAGGAGATAGAAAAGTAAGGAATTTTCACTTTGGCTACAGCTGGAACTGGAAACTAGTTTATAATCCAAGCCTTCCATTGGAAACCAATGGTAAGATGTGATACCTATTTTATGTATGACTCTATGATCAAGATCAGTAATATTTCCTGTTTTGCTATAGAAGACAGACCTCCAGAGAGATCTGTAAACTAACTTTGTATTTAATTTGCATTTAAAATAATTTAAGATGGAATTATTTTTCATATTGCATCCCTGGCTGAGGAACCAATCAGGTTGTGGGAGAGATTGACTTTGTGGCCTCTTTTAGGCGACCATAAGCCTGAGAACCTGGGAGGCTGTGTCTGGAGAAGAAAAATTCAAGGCAGTGTTGCAAAGTTTTCTTCATAAAATCATGACCTGATAGTACCTGATAGTCAGTTAGAGGCTCCCAGGTGACCCCTGTGAGAGTCATATGCACAATTGGCAAAGTTAGAATAACTCAGGAGACATGCTGAGGAGATGGAAGGAGCCTAGTGCTAGATTGTTCCTAATTCTCTAAAATGCCTTGGCTTCTAATGGCAATGTTCACTAATTAATCTGCAGACCTAGGGCCCATCAGGAGTCATGTGACAATTCTATTCTGCTCACAGCTTTGAAAGTGTCTTTAAAATGGGCCAATGAGAGGACCTGAGTTTGATCCCTGGAACCCATTAGTGGAAGGAGAGAACCAAGTCTCTAAAGTTGTTCTCTGACCTTCACAGATAAGCAAGTGTGCACCCTCGTGTGCATGTATTCGTGTGCGCACACAGACACTTATATACATATGCACACTCACACACACATACACATGCACACACATATACACACATACATATATGCACATACGCACATACACACACACACACATGCTATAATAACAAATCTCTACACAAATGTTCCACCCTGCTGAGCAGGGCAGGGATACTCACAGTCTCTGCATCCACAAACAGTGTAGGGCATTCAGAGCAGGAGGTAAGCATCTGGGATGAGCTGACAAATTTGGATCCGATTCCCCGGAGGTTATCTCCAAGGTAACTGGCTGCATCACAGGTTAGGAAGCAGAACCTCTTTTGAATATTCTACAAGGCAGGAGAGGGATCATTCACAAAGGCCAAGCTCAACTTGTACACTAGAAAATATAACTTTGTGTGTGTGTGTTGCAGAAGTTTAAAATACTTTGGGGCGTGTGGTGCAAATCAAAGACTTGGGAGGGAGAGACAGAGGATCAGGAATTCAAGGCCAGCCTGTGTTACAAGAGATGTCTCAAAAACAAAAACAAAAAGTGGGGTGAGAGAGATGGCTCAGCAGTTAAGAGAACATGCGTGAGGCTCTTGTAGAGGACCCAAGTTTGCATCCTAGTACACAGCTCCAGGGGATCCAGAGAGAACGCACTGCGACATAATAAAGGCTATATATGACAAACCCACAGGCAACATCATCCTCAATGGAGAAAAACTCAAGGTCATGCCATTAAAATTAGGAAGGATCCAGGGCCACCACCTGTCCTCACTCATTTCAACACAGCACTTGAAGCACTAGCCAGAGCAATAGACCAAAGGAGAAAATTAAAATGATATGAATAGGAGAAGAAATAATCAAACTATCTCTATTTTCAGATGGTATGGTAAGAGATATATAAGCGATCCCAAAAATTCTCCCCGAAAACTAGAAATGATAACACTTTTAGCAAAGAAATACTAAAATCCATATGGAAACAGAAGAGCTCAGATAGGCAAGGCAATTCTGAGCAGAAGAACAATGCACAGGGATTACTGGTCCAGATTTTGAGCTGTATTACAGAGCTGCAGCTATACCACCCAAAAGCACATGCCCAAAGGAAATATCACCAAGTCCTGCTGGGAGAACTAGAGGTCCTCATGCAGGAGAATGAAATTAGACCTCTCCCTACCACCCTGCACACAAAATCAACTCCAAATGGCCCAATGACACTCATGTGAAACCCAGCAGGCTGAAAGTGATGGCTGGGAACTTAGGCAGACTCTAGAAGACTAGATCTTCGAAGAAAGGCCTTTCAGGGGAGGACAATATTTGCTCAGGAGCCAACCACTGGAGATGAGACCTCACAAAACTAACAAGCTTCTGCGTAGCCAAGGAAACAATCAACTGAGGGAAAAGCCTGCAGACTAGGAGGGAATCTTTGCCAGCTATATGTCTGAAAGAGGATCAATATCAATATACATCTGAAAGGGGTAATATTCAAAGGACTAAAACCAAACAAAAGGATGAGTCAAGACAAGAAATGATACAAGTAAAAAAGAGCCATGGAACCGAATAGAGCTCTTAAAAGAAGAAACAAAAATGGCTAAGAAATATATTAAGTGTTTCACATCCTTTGTAATTAGGAAATTTACCATTTCTTCCCCAAGTTGCTTTTGCTCATGGTGTTTTATCACAGTAAAAGAAACCCTAACTAAGCTACCATGGTTTCTTACCATTGAGAACATCAACAGGAAATGGAGTGGCAGAAATAAAAGGTCCCTCCCCTTCATGACAGCTGACCTGAAATCACTTGAGTTCAGTGTCTTCATAAGGGGAAGGCAATAAAGGATGAATAAAAGCTGTAGGTAGAGAAACTAGTCTCTACCTACATAACCCTAGAGGCAGCTGTTCTCAACCTGTGGGTGGTGACCCCTTTAGGGATCTCATACCAGCCATCCTGCATATCAGTTATTCACGTTATGATTCACAGAAGTTAGCAAAATGACAGCTAGGAAGTAGCAGTGAATTAATTTTATGGTTGGGGGGTCAGCCCAACATGAGGAACTGTATGAAAGGGTCTCCGCATTAGCGAGGTTAAGAACCAGTGCCCTAGAGAGACAACAATCCCCTGCGAAGTCCGCCGCCATCGGCTGTGTCCATGAGCCCATACCTTAAACAGAGAGGAGAACACATGAAATGTGTACACAGCACAGGAGCCGTCTGAGTCACACATGAGCTGGTTAATGTGGCTGCGCCAGGCCTCCTCGGCGTCATCGCAGGCGGCGGGCTGAAAGGCAGCAAGGATGGCCGAGAAGAAGGGCGAGGGAGGGGGAGACACACCCCTGTCACCTTCTCCGAAGCTGGAAAACATGGACACCATGATCATCAGAAGGTGGCAGCCTCTTGTACCCAGCTCTACACTGACACTGGCATGTCAGCCTGGGGAGGTGGCCCTTTGGGTCCTTTATTCTTATCAAGGGCTTTCTAGGGATTTGGTTTTTACTAGAGGTCTCTGTGATCTTTTGGTTCCTAGGAAATAGATTTTTTTTTCCTTCTGACATTTCTATGATTCTTCCATTTTTTGGTTTGGTAGGGGTGGTGGTTTAAAACTGGTCTCACTATATAGTCTTGGTTGGCTTGAAACTCACTATGTAGACCAGGCTAGCCTTAAAGTTACAGATTCACCTGCCTCTGCCTCCTGAATGCTGGCATCAAAGGGTTTCACAACAATGCCTGGCATTTCCAATTGTTTTGTATAGGCTTATATATCGCATAGCCCTCGGCAAGACCTGGCTCTCCCAGGGTCCAGCCTCACACTAAACATCTGTTTCCAAGCTCGACATCACCATCCTTCTACACTTTGCATTCAGAAAAAAAAAACCAAACAAACTCGGAGCCAACTTTAGGTTCTTCAAACTTGTCCCTGATGCAGACAGACGAGGAATACATGTGCACAAACTCTGGGGATACCGAGGTACGGGGAGGGCAGGGCAGGAATGGAGAATAACAGGGAACAGGACAGATGGGAAGGAAGGCAGGAGGATGTGGGAGATCCGCTCTTCCCATGCTATCCACCCCCCCAGCCTTTTCCCCGATGGTTAGACCGCCTCTGTGTAGCCCCGGGGCTTTGACTTAGCTCTTTTTTTTCCAGTATTCACAAACATAAGTATAGCATCTCTACTTTCTCCTAAAGTAGATCCAAACCGCACCGTAATCTGTGACTTATGGCAGACGCTGAATCAATGCAAGGTACGATGTTCTCACCCATCCGCCTTCTTTTTGTGCTATGTGAGTCACTACTTTACGAGGCGTTGGCCACCAGGCCACAAGACACTCTGTTAAAGAGCAGCTTAGCTTGGAAAGAGCCTGTTGCTTATGTCTTTCAACTCGGAAAGAATTCATTTTCACGCTTAGCTCATATCTTCAAAGCTTCATGTCCCCAGGGCCTTTTTTGGGGGCTTTTCATGTTGCTCTCTGGCTCTGTAAATTCTTAATCCCAGGAAAAGCCCTCCACGGGGTTGGATGACGCAGGTCAGTGAGGTCCTGCCAGGCTGCATGCTAGGAGGTCTCTGCAGTATGAGGATGTGTGCCTAGTGTGGAGTGCGTAGCTAGTGAGGGGCATGTATGCCACACAGCATGCTGCACATACTAATGCCAAACCATTTCCCCACGGGCTGCCTTGCCTGGCGAGAGTGTACTGGTCCAGGCCCCGATTGCCTTTTTCCTCCGCCTCAGTCATATCCAGGCTGAAGCTGTCACTGCATTCAAACGCTGCTGGGGGCTCATTGATTGAACTTGAAAGATCATCTTCATGCACGGCAGTGTCCTCCTCTTCGGGGACTGCCTCAGCCTGCAGTGACAAAATTTTAAACCCCAATGTGTAAGAATATACCTTCTGAATTCAATGAAGCAGAAATGAAATACTGAGAGGGAGGGAAATGGGCTTAGAAATTCTCTGAAGTATCCCTTCTCTATCTTCTTCCTTTTGGTGTCTTCCATAATCACGCCCAAGGGCATGCTCAGTAGAGTGTCACATTTGCTCTATGTTCGGAGTGTATAAACGCTAACTTCAATACTGTCAGAGGGACACCTCCCCTACGCTGTCTAGTTTCCATGTTTACAGATTTGCAACCTCTGCTCTGTGTACCAAGTCTTTGCCCAGTGTCAGGTTGGCCATCAGAGGTAGAGCTGGAAGAGAAGCTATCTGCCTTTGTATTCATAAGAACTCTCATCCCCCAGAACAGATGACCCATCTCCTAATGTCTGGATTAGTCTCTGGAGGCCTACTTCACAAGACTACTATAGTTTCAAAAACCAGAAAGAAGCCAGACACAGATAGACTTTGATTGTACAGCCCATGTATATCAAAGAGAGTACATGTACATTTAGAGACAGGCACGTCCAAACCTGTTCTCCAATTGGAAATTCCTTTTCCAATACAGGCCGGAATATAAATGCATCGGTGCATGGCACAACAGACGCTCAGAGGGGAATCTGTAGTGTGCCTTATACTGTGGTGACAGGCTTTCTTATACAGAAGGCAGCCCATCACCTACCTGCATGGAGGCGCACTGGGCCCTCCTAGGGCAGTGGCTGAGGTGGGAGTGTAGCTCTCACCTCTCACCTAACCATAGAGCAGTAAACAATAACAAGTAACCGCTCTAGGGCAGGCAGATCTTGGGTCAGTGAGAGGCAGGGAAGAGATACACGAAGTAAAATAGAAAAAAAGAGGCTGGGCTTGAGCTGAGGCGGGCTGGGGGTGGCGGAGTCAACTGGAGAACAGCCTGTTCTGTGAGAGGAAGGAAGGCAACCGGGATACACATCAGAAAAGCAGAGGAAGGAAACACGTACGTGCTTCTGTGAGTCATCTTAAAAATAAAGTCAAGGTGAAACAGAAATGTCTGTGACTTAGACCTTTACCATGGGTTAACATCTGGCCAGTGGTTTATAGTATTCTGAATTGGATTAATGAGGAGAAATAAGCCAGATTGTTAAAGTTGTATTAGAAGGTCAGGATAGCTCATGTTTTTGGTGGTGCCAAGTTCTTATAGAGGAATCTATGTTTTCTCTAACATGATAACTATATCAAATACCACAGAATTTAGGTTATGAAAAAATAGAGGTGTCTTTAAAAGTGAGATCTAATGTTTTTATTGACAGAATTTGCTTATTTCTCTCAAGAGAAATCTATCTATCTATCTATCTATCTATCTATCTATCTATCTATCTATCTATCTGACTTTAAAAGACAAATGGAGAAACTGCACTCATGCTGAGAAATAACATGGTCAGTACATCACATATATTTTAAGATGCTTTTCCAAGAAATTGAACTTAAAAAGTCTTAATCTTGGGATTAATGTTCTAGTACTTTTCAATCTAGAACAAGAATTTGTTCAGGGGGATTTATTTTTTGGCCAAAAAAGGGGACAGTTCTAACTCCAAGAATCCCAATTATAGTTTTTATCTTTCCTTTTGAGTTGGGGCAATCTTAGAATTAATTCTTATTTCAGCTCTAATATTTTTAGATAATCACACCTTAGTAGGTGCTGCTGGTTTAAAGCATTCAGGGGTTTCCTGATTTCAGCATATTGTAAAACGATGTAGAAAGTGTTATATTTATCCTTTAGCAGTCTCTCTCTCTCTCTCTCTCTCTCTCTCTCTCTCTCTCTCTCTCTCACACACACACACATACACACCCCACAATTTTCTTTCCTCTTTTAAAGTTGCAAAACTGTAGCCAAAATCAAGATCAGGAATGACTAATTCTATTCTAACAGTGATAGACTATTTTGATATCTCTAATATAAGGAAATAAAATTCTACACTAAAGGTCATATGTGTGGTTACAGCATGTAAAGGAACAGTTTTATGGGCAGGATATTTTCTGTGAATTTTGATAAAATAAACCTTAAATGAAATAGCCACAAGATTTTTCTTTTGTCTTAAAGCCAACCTTTTTTTTTTTTTGGTTGGTTGGTTTGTTTGTTTGTTTGTTTGTTTGTTTTTGGTTTTTTCGAGACATGGTTTCTCTGTGTAGCCCTGTCTGTCCTGGAACTCACTCTGTAGACCAGGCTAGCCTTGAACTCAGAAATCTGCCTGCCTCTGCCTCCCAAGTGCTGGGATTAAAGGCGTGTGCCACCACCGCCCGGCAAAGCCAACCTTTTGAAATAAAGAAATTATATGCATTAGATAACTCTTCTCTCAGGGAGTATAGCTAGGAAAGTTTTATGCAAATTTGGCATAATTCTATGTGATTGACATTAAATATTCCTATCGTTCGCCAAAAGGCGAGCATCAAATCAATGAGCAAATTGTGTCACTGGTTCCTACTCGAGGAAATATTTGCCTCAGTGCGTGTATACTCCTACACTTCACTTAGCGAATTGTTTTATAAAAGCCACCACAGTCCCACCACCGTCACACCAGTCTCTCTCCGTCACTTGCTTTTGCAGTCAGTCAGTAATCAAGTATTTCATTCTACAAAGGCCTCAGGCCGAATTTTTCAGCCACAGTTGGTGAGCATAAAATAACTTCAAAGCACAGGACTGGGCAGGCGCTTCAGTCATTTCACTAAAACCAGAGGCAGTAAAACCCCTGCACTTTGAACCTCCCTCTACGAATCCTTAATAGGACAGTTTTTTGTCTTTCCTCTACCCCCTTTAAGGGAACTACAATAACAATTCCACAAATCTCTTCACCTTTGACCCCTCTGAAATCTGCAGATTATTTATATCAGGCAGAGAAGCCTCGAAGCCTGCCATTCTGGTGTTGAAGGAATGAGGGTCTGCAGGAGTGGGGTCACAGGCACCGGTCAGCAGCTCCATAGGACTGGCCTCCTCAGAGGGGGAGAGATTCATGATCTGTTTAGAAAGCAAAGGAAAGCAAATGTAACAGGAAGTTCCTGTCAATAGAACACAAAGCATCACTCCCCAGTACTTGGTTGACAGGTATAATTTTTCTAACTTCTATGTTGTTGATTGTTATTAGCATATTAATGTGGCAGTGGGCAACCCTGTATGAATCTGGCCTCAGGGTACCAACTGCCACCTACAGAGAAGAGGTCACCGAGACACCACCTGAACAATCAGCTTTCAGTTTAGCAGCCATGAAGAGTTTATTTAGCTGGAAACAAAACTCCTGAATTAATTTTAAAAAACCCAAACCAAACACAAGGCTTCCCAACTCTCCAGTGGGAGAGTCCCTACTTACAAGGTCTGAATGTTCCAGAATCTGGCTGGCTGTGAGGTCCTCCTCCTCCGATGACTCATCGGAATCCTCATGGCTCAGTTTATTTAGGCTGGGAGTACTTCTGGAGAGTTGGCGCTCCTCCAGGATCTGCATATCACACTTGTCCAGGCTGTCCAGGGAGCGCCTGCGCACTCCCCAGTTGAAGTTGTCCATACTCTCTCCCTGAAATCACACCACAATCGACTTTTTATGCCCTGGTCCTCTGGCACACACACACCTTTAACACAGTCAGTCAGGCCCACTTTAGAAACAAACGTGGTCACCATCAACTCTCAAGCCCTCCTTCATCTGCTTTGATGCTCAGATTCCAGCTTACTAACAAGAGGAGACAAAAAAAGCAAAGCTTTTCTGGAAATGTGTGTTATCTCACAAGTAGAAGCGAGGGCACACTTCTCTTTGATATATATACATGTATGTATGTATGTATGTATGTATGTATGTATGTATGGCTTTTTGAAACAAGGTCTCATTGTGTAGCCTTGGATGGCCTGGAACTCACTTTGTAGATGAGGCTGTTTTCCAACTCACAGAGATCCATCTGTCTCTGTCTCTCTCTGTCTCTCTCTGTCCCTCTCTTTCTCTCTCTCCCAAGTGCTGAGATTAAAGGCATGCACCATCACACCCAGCAGGAAATACATATTTCTTAAAGTTGATTTTGGTAAACCCTAGAAAATTTTGTTTTCAAAAATATGTCCAAGAAAAGAGGGAGATTATTAATATTAAAGTAACTTTAAAATTAGTGTAACCCCCCCACCCGCCGCCAGCCTCTGTTTAGTTAGAGTTTTCGGGAGGGGAAACAAGTATGCTCAGAGCACATTCCGCGGAATTCCTTGGCTGTTAAGTAGAAGCACATTGGGTAAACATCCTGGACTGTTTTGCTACAGCAGATTCCACAGGAAAAAAAAAAAAGCTGAGTTAAAGTCTGTGAGAGCTGTATAAAGTTTAGGGGCCCTGCACTAATAGGAAGCCACGTCTTGGCTTTTGCTTAAGACTCATCTTTAAATTGTCCCATGCTGGGAAGTGGTTAAATTTCTTGCCTTGGCACTGAAGATTTCCTGCAGATGTACCCATTCTGATTCCGTGAGAACTGGCATAGTCCGACAAGGAAGTGTTAACTCCCGGAGTTGTATCTCAGATCTCTACAAAGCACCAGCCATTAGATAAGTCTATTTGGCTGACATAACTTTTCTTTTTTCCCTGCAGAAATGAATGTGGGGTTCGGTTTTCTGTCTCTTGAAGCAAGACTAAAGGGAGATAGCTACATTGTACTGGCTGGTTGTGTGTGTTAACTTGACACAAGCTAGAGTCATCAGAGAGGAAGGAGCCTCAGCTGAGAAAGTGCTTCCATGAGATCCAGCTCTATGGCTTTTTCTAAATCCGTGATCAATGAGGGAAGGCCCAGCCCATTGTGGGTGGTGCTATTCTTGAGATAGTGGTCCTGGCTTCTATAAGAAAGCAGGCTGGCCAAGCAAACTATGAGGAGTCAGTAAGTAGCACCCCTCCATGGCTTCTGCATCAGCTCCTGTCTCTAGGTTCCTGCCCTGTTTAAGTTCCTGTCCTGGCTTCCTTCAATGATGAACAGCCATGTGGAGGTGTAAACCAAATAAACCCTTTCCTCCTCAGTTTGCTTTTTGGGTCATGGTGCTTTATTGCAGCTATAGAAACCCTAACTAGGGTACACTCTGATGATAAACAAAAAGTCATCTGAGTAAGACCCAGCACTCCATCTTATTGGATGGTCGGTCATTTGAAACACGGCCTAATGGATTCTGAGGTAAAGCTATGCTTCTGATGGGAGGTCAGCGAGCAGCAGAATAGTCCAAGAACCATGAGTGAGTATCAAATGCAGTGATCAGGAGGCTTCTTTTTCCTCCTCAGGTTCCTGGTTTTAGATAAGGCGGGTATGGTGGACCAGTCCTCAGTGTCACAGCCCTCACCTCTAACAGGCATTGGCAGCCTATCCAAAGTTTGTTTTGTGGAAGAAAGCAAGACCCCTAAACACATCACTGCAGATATAGAAAGTGGTACTGTCATTTGTCCTGTTATAGTATTTTCAAGAATTTATGCCGGTGGTGGTGGCACACGCCTTTAATCCCAGCACTTGGGAGGAAGAGGCAGGCAGATTTCTGAGTTCGAGGCCAGCCTGAACACAGAGTGAGTTCCAGGACAGCCAGGGCTACACAGAGAAACCCTGTCTCGAAAAACCAAAATAAATAAATAAATAAATAAATAAATAAATAAATAAATAAATTCATAAAAAAGAATTTATTTATTTTTATATTATATGTGTGCCCATGTATATGTAGGTGTGCCATGTGCATACAGTACCCACAGAAACCAGTGGAGGGAATCAGATCTCCCTGAAATTAAAGTTACAGATAGCTGTGTGCTGCTGGAGTGCTGGGACCTGAACCTGGGTCTGTATTTGTGCCTTCATGCTACATGGGTTGGGCTTCCCTAATTTGAAGTCTTTCAAAATCCCAATTGTTCTTAAGCGCCATTACGGAGTTCCCAAGTGGATAATTCCACGGTATGGGTCAAAATCCAGGCCCCCTAAAAATTCTGTATGAAATTACCATCAGGGGCTGGAGAGATGGCTCAGAGGTTAAGAGCACTGACTGCTCTTCCAGAGGTCCTGAGTTCAATTCCCAGCAGCCACGTGGTGGCTCACAACCATCTGTAATGAGATCTGATGCCCTCTTCTGGTGTGTCTGAAGACAGCTACAGTGTACATAAAATAAATAAAATACATAAAATAAATAAATCTTAAAAACAAAGTGGTTAAAAAAAAGAAATTACCATCAGGCTAGATGCAGAGGAAATAGAGTGAATTTAACATTTGGACTTGAGGCTTATCCCTGTGAAACCATGTATGTTATGTGTATGCAAATATTCCCAAATAAATAAAACTACTCAAATCTGAAACACTTCTAGTTCCGAGCATTCTGCATAAGGAAACTCAAACCTGTACCTGTTTCCCCTGAGACGGCTGTAAGAGATTCCTACTAAATAATTCGGGTTTCTTCCTGGTGGGAACAGTTAATTCCTTGGTTGAGGGATTAATGTAACTACTGTAGTAGGAATATGAAAAAAATGTATAAGGCCAAAAGATCTTGAAAGAAAAGAGAAGTGTAATTTGTGAAAAAACAAAAAACAAAAAACAAAAAGTGGGGGAAAATAAAGGGAAACGGGGATGTGGGAAGTGTGTAAACACAGACTCTCAACACCAAGTTTTCTTGTGCCAAATGAACAGATGAGGTTGGGAAGGCTCTTACAAGCCACAGCTCTGGAGGTCTCCTCCATTGACCTGAGCCTGCAGCAGCCCAGCAGTAAGAGGCTGCTACACTGGGCACAGATGCTCTTGTTGATGTCGGGGGAAACTGAACCCACTGGGCATGAGAACTGGGAGGCGCAGTTAATATCTGTCTCCACAGAGGATGTGACCACTCCATTCTAGGCAAAGCTGTTGAAATTATGTCCCTTGTGGTAGCTGAGGGGTCTAGCCCCGGGTAACATCCACAGTGGAAGGACTATGGGTGTAGCTAAGAGGTAAAACGTGATTAGCATTATTAAGGGTTCTTGGATTCAGATTCTAACATGCACAATAAAAGCCTATAATGTGTAAAAAATCAGCCCAGCTTTTTAAAAAATTATTATTATTTTATGTGTATGAATGTTCTTTCTACATGTGTGTCTGTGCACCATGTGTGTGCTGTGCCAGTAGAGGCCAGAAGAGGGTGTTAGATCTCCAGGACCTGGAGTTAGAGATGTTTGTGAATTGCCCTGTAGGTGCTGGGAACTGAACTTGGGTCCCCTACAAGAGCAGCTAGTGCTATTAACCACTGAGCTATCTTTCCAGCTCCAAGCTCAGCTTTCTCAGAGTGGCACAAAATACACTCACTTGGAGCTACTCATCCTGCCTATCCATCAGATGCCTAAACTGTACCCTATGCCACATAAAAAATACAGAGTAGCTATTTCACATGGACCATTTGCACATACAGTTATCAAACTTAAACATAACACCCAGAGTTTATACTGAGAGAGCAGAATATTGACAAATACCCTAGAAGTGTCAAAGATAATATTTTTGAAATTATTTAAAATGAAACTGTGTTTTTTTAAAAAAATGTTATTATTAGAGTGCCAGGGATTGGAGCAGGTCTTTGTGCATGAGAAAAAAACAATCCCCTATGAGCTCCACCCAGCCCAAAATAAATGAATAAATAAATAATCAAATAGATTTTCTAAAATAAAGCTACTTAAAGTGAGTCCTAAAGTGACAGGGTCATGAGTCCGCCTGCTTATACTGCTATAGGCCAGGGGCCAAGCATCACTGTTGTCAGCCCTCTTCTTTTCTTACAGAGCACCTGGTTTGGATGAAAATTAATTTATCTAGTTGTCAGACACAGAGAGATAGCTTTGGAGTTTTAGAAAAGGAAGTGTTTTTTGTTTGTTTGTTTGTCTTTGATTTTTGTTTTTCCAGTAGTGCTGGGGCTGGAACTGGGTGGGGGGGTGCTCATTCATGCTAAGTAGACTCTGTTCCACTTAGGTGCATCCGCAGCCTGATTTCACCATCTACAGAGTAAAAACCCATTCATAAGAGACAGCAGGGTGCCTACCCATAGTTTGTAGTCAAAGACTTTTATTTCCTCTCTAGAGATGCAACCATGCAACTTCATGAACTAAGGATAGAAGCGTTTTTATATTTTAGAAGATATTTTGATACTTAGCGCAGCCAAGGGATCGCGGGGAGGGCAAAAACCAACTCAAACCAAAAACAACAAACAAACCCTTTCTCCCCACCAAAAAAACCCTCTTCTATCAAACACTTAAATACAAGTCTACACACAAATCTGGAGACGTGCTGGAGGGAAGGGGAAGGGAAGCGCTCATTCGGGTTGTTATAGAACCACGCAACGATACAATGCACCTGCCTGTGTGCCAGAATTAAGTAAGAGCAACAGCGTCTTACCTGAAGTTCCTGGGGAGCAGTTTGAATGGACAGAAAAACAAACAGAAGGTCTATTTAAAATGATACAATGTATAAAACATCCCAGTGCATTTTAGTTTCCACACAACAACGAGTAACAGTGTTAGCAACATATTCTTCAGTAGACACAACTCATACAAAGGAAGGAAAACATGCCCCAGCTCCAAGGAGAAAAATCACTATTCACCCTCAGAGTTCCCGCATGCCTTCCCCACCAGACAGATGATGAGGCTTAAGGAATGTCACGAGCCCACTTGCAGAAGAAGCACCTTCCTACTTCAGCAATAACATTGTTTCTCTTTAACACCTATTTATTTAGAATGTCTGAATACTTGCTTGTGAGGAAATGTTTAAATGTCACGGAGAGAAAAGTGGGTCAGAAAGTGGCATCAGTTGACCCGGCTTCCGAAGCTAAAAGTTCGGTCATGATCTGTCCACTGCAGATGGGAGATTAGTACCGCGGGGACACAGCCCCTTTAAACGATCCTGCAAACTCCAAGGGCAGAAGCTGTGATGAAGATCTTATTCAGATTCCAAAATTAACTTGGGATGCTGCTTGTTTCTTTGTTTTTTGCTTTGACAATCATGTTTTGATGAAGAAGCCAGAGTATGCTTACATCACTGGCTTTATCAGGAACTATGTACCACTGGTGGGATTGTCTGGTGACTGGTATAGGGAACGCCAGCTGCATGCCTGACACTGTGCCACGTGGCCTGCACAGGGCATCAGACTCCTCATACTAGGTCCACAGGAAGTTTTTTTTAAAAAGATGTATGTATGTATGTATGTATGTATGTATGTATGTATGTATGTATGTATTTAATATATATATGCTATCTTCAGACACACACCATCGGATCTCATTACAGATGGTTGTGAGCCACCATGTGGTTGCTAGGAATTGAACTCAGGACCTCTGGAAGAGTAGTCAGTGCTCTTGACCGCTGAGCCATCTCTCCATCTCTGGAAGTTTTTATTATGCCCACTGACATTCACGATGACTCAAGCTCAAGTGCTTCCATTTTACTGAGCTCTTAACATCTCAGTGTCTTTTGTTTTATTTTAGTTCAGAAACTGCAAAGCATCCTCAAAGGGTTTTCTTTTTTTTTTTTTCTGACATTGGGGTTATCTGTGTTGACTAGGCTAATTTTGAACTCCTGGGCTCAAGAGACCCTCCTACCTTCGAGTACCTGGTATTACACAAGTGTTTACTCGGCTTTTGTTTTTACTACTTTGTTTAGATTAATTTTTCTTATTTTCTTGAGCTCCTTATACAAATATTAATCTTTGAAAATACTGATTTCATTTTTTGTGTATGGAATGTTTTGCCTGCATGGATCTATGTATACCCTTCACAAGCAGAGCCTGCAGATGCCAGAAGAGGGCATAGGATCCCCTGGACCTGAGAGTTACAGATGGTTGTGAGCCACCAGGTGGGTGCTTGGAACTGAACCCAGATCTTCTAGAATTAGCAGTGCTGGGATTATGTCTTGCAGGCCACTCTGTGTAACACTGTTCTGGGGCTGAGACAGGAGGAGGATGTCTCCCTTGATGTCAGTTTAACTTCTGGAAAGCAGAGGGAGCTGTCTTGAACCCTAACCTAAGAACAACTTTAGGTCAGCTGCCAGATCAAGGAACCCTGACCTTAGCTGAGCACGCAGCTCCAGCCCCCAGGCATGTCAGAAGAATCCAGACTGATGTCTTTTGTATTATCATTTCGAAACCATCTTCGCTGTACTTAGTGAATTCCCTCTTGGTCACTAATTATGGTTAGCAGAATCCCCTGCAATCCTCTTAATAGGTTTGAGAACAGTTTAAGAAAATGAAAATTAAGCAAGGATTCATTTGAAGCTTGCCTTGGGGTCAGTACTTTTTTTTCCCTTTCCTTTTTTTTTTTTTCTTTTTTCTTCAAGACAGGGTTTCTCTGTGTAGCCCTGGCTGTCCTGGAACTCACTCTGTAGAATGGGCTGGCCTTGAACTCAGAAATCTGCCTGCCTCTGCCTCACAAGTGCTGGGATTAAAGGCATGCACCACCACCACCACCCAGCTTCTTTTCTTGTTTCTTAAGACAGGGTCTCACTATGGTCTCACTATTCCAGGCTGTCCTGGAATGCCAGGTTGGCCTCAAACTCAGAAACAAGCTGGTCTCTGCCTCCCTAGTGCTGAAGTTAAAAGTGGGTACCACAATATCAGAAGTACTTTTTTTCTTTTACTATCTTCTGTGGGGGTGAGGCGGGGAGGTAGCAATGAAGATACAACACAGGGCCTTGAGTATAGTAGGCATATGCTTTACCAGTGACCGTCACTGCCAGCCTCAGCCAGTGCTTTGACATTCTTAAGTCTGGGTTTGCTCAGTGTGCTATGTACTTGCATCTGTCCTGTTGGGACAGACATGAGGCAGACATGGCACTTGGGCCTCAACTAGACATGAGTGAGTGGGTTTGCCAGAAGTCACATTCTTTCTGTCAGCCATTCAGACTCTCACTTTCCCATTAGTTCACAGTTAAGTCAGGAGGCGCCTACCTATTGCAGGCTATAATCAACTTTCATTTTGGGCCTTTAGCTGGGAGGGCTGCAGTTGGAAAGGAGATAGAATCTTGAGTTTTCATTCCCCAAAGGCAAGACACTGCCTCTCCCAGGGAACATGCCCTGAGCTGTAAAAGCGGAGTTGTCTCTCTTCCTCCTCCCAGGCCCATGGATAGGAGCAATGGATCTTATTCTTGCCATTCCAGACAGATCTGCACATGCCTGCCAGGACTTGAATTCAGCTGCTCCAGATGTCAGGAATGCTGACCACCAATCAACCCCTACGCACGGGTAAGACAGCAGATCTCTGTCTCTTGTCTTATGCCTTATATTTCATTCTAAGCACTAAGGATTTCATTAAACATGGCACAGGAATGCAGGAGCCCGAGGGCTCCAATCTCCAGGGGTGGGAACGCAGGCTTTGAAGTGACTGAATTACAGCAACTTTACATTAGAAATGAAATTGTTAGCATATTTTGCCCAGGAACAGGCTTAGAAATGATGCGTTCTTCTGACTTAAAAAAAAAAATGCTCCCTCAGACGACACATATAGTCTTTGTGTAGTCATTCTGATTCAGATCTTTGCCATTTAAAAATAAGTTGGCAGCTTTTGCTTCGGGCTCAGACAGGAAGGGCGGGGTGATTTGTGCAACAGTGAAGCAGCTGTTTGCAGAACTTGACTGAAAACGGAGTTTACAACTTCCTAACTAGAGAACTTGCTATAGAGAGTGGTCAGTGGAGAAAGCAACACTGTTTCGTTAGACAGGCCTAGAGAGTTTGACTGTGACAGAGAATACACGGTACCTCTCCATCCTCCAGTTCCACATCCAGGAAATCGAAGTCCCTGAAGACTCGGAACTGCTGCTCACTGTTGGTGTCATCCATGTTCTCCTGCTCCCGGGTGCCGTCCTCGGATGACACCAGGCTCGTCTGATGCTCCGGCAGATCCAGGTCCCCACACGAGGAAAAAATCACCTAGGAATCAAAAGAAGCCTCTTTTGAGAAACTCACCACCCTTCAGTTGTTTGTGCAGTGAGTGATGGCCATTGGTTCCCTGGACAACTGTGTCTCCAGTACACACCTAATTCCTTAAGTGGGTATTTTTAGACTGTTCTTTTATTATTTATGTTGGACAGGTGCCTTTGGATTAAACTCTCTGCAGACGCTCAAGTTCACACACTACAAAAGCATTCTAGAGTTTGAACGGCTATCTCTTAGTGGGGATGGTGGGACACTACGTGTGTGTGTGTGTGTGTGTGTGTGTGTGTGTGAAACAACTAAGTGTGTGTTCACAGACGAACCAGAGCAGCTAAAATTTTCCACTCTTCTTGGTCTGACTGAGGTTAGAAATCATGTACCTTCCTTCACACATCAAATGTATATAAATAATTTTCAAAGGATGACGTCAAGATATATTATTGTAAAATAAACCACAGGAACAAACGATTTAACCCTTTGAAAGGTAAACCAGGAATCAGGAAGGATTAATAAAGAGAAGCCAAACTTTTATGTTTAGGTCCTTTGTATTTAGACATTTTATTTTTAATTAGTTAATTAAGTTTTTGAGATGGGGTCTCACTGTGTGTTCCAGTCAGCCTGGAATGCTCTGTGGAGACTAAACTCAGAGACAGGCTTGCTTCTGCCTTCCAAGTGCTGGGATTAACACAGGCTCAGAGGCAGATCATTTGCTTCATCTAGAGTCTCTGGGTTCAAGACCCAGAAAGATCAGAAAGGAAAGGAAAGCATAAACACCATGTGCTGGGGTTGAAGTTGTGTGTTCCCATACCCAGCTACTGAGACTTTAAAAAAAAAGAATTATTTATTTCGTATATAAGTAGTACACTGTAGTTATTCTCAGACACACCAGAAGAGAGCATCAGATCCCATTACCGATGGTTGTGAGTCACCATGCGGTTGCTGGGAATTGAACTCAGAACCTCTGGAAGAGCAGACAGTGCTCTTAGCCACTGAGACATCTCTCCAGCTCCCTACTGGGACATTTTAATAGGCCTTTTAATTAATGGTTGGTTTGTTCTGTTTTTGGTTTTTGAGATAAGGTCTCATTCTGTCTTGTAGGCTGGCCTGGACTTGCTATGTAGCCCAGGCTTGCCTCAGCCTCCTGAGGTTTACAGGTATAAGCCACCATGTCTGACTTAATAGAACTCTGAAGAACTAATAACCAGCAAAGGTTTTGTTAGCCAGTCCCAATTAAATACAGATATGAAACTAAAAGCTTTATTTTGTGAACCTAAGTACCGAGGGGTGGGTGGGGAGTTCAGGGGACATATTAGTTGAAGACACTATAACAATGAATGACCAATCAGAACCTCATTATTGTGGAGAGTTGGAATGCTGCCGATCCAGAGCTAAAATCATCTTGGACTATTTTTTAGTCTTCTTAACACCTAATCTTTGTTCACCCTTGAGTCTGACCTAAAACCCATTTGATTAATAAGTCAAACCTTTAAAGCATAGTCTTAGCAGGCCTCAGGCTTCCACCAATCCAAGGTAAGAATGCCATCACACATGCCTGCCTTCAGTCTCCCACAATGCACCTGGTAAATGTCCTAAGTTCTAACTAGGAAATATTCCATGGTGGAATACATCAGTCAGGCCAACCTGAATCTGTGTTCCCAGGCCTGGGTCACGAAAATGTGGCTCCAGGGCTTAAGAAGAAATTGTCTTAATTCTTTTGAGGGGAGAGCTCTAGTCTGTGTTGACACTTTACATAACTATTATAATGTTCTCTTGCCCCCCCCTTTTTTGTTTGTTTTTTGAGACAGGGTTTCTCTGTGTAGCCCTGGCTGTCCTGGAACTCACTCTGTAGACCAGGCTGGCCTCAAACTCAGAAATCCTCCTGCCTCTGCCTCCCAAGTGCTGGGATTAGAGGCGTGCACCACCACTGCCTGGCTGGGCAAGATATTATAAGAACAGAAATATAACATATCTCTCCAAGGTAAAAAGAATGAAAGAGTGTGAACATTTCATTTTTTTTCTTTTTTCTAGTGTATAAAGATAGTGTTGTGGACAGATGGCATAGATTAAGCATCTCAGATCTGAAAATCCCAAATCTTAAAATGTTTTAAACCTGAAACTTTCATTATTAATTCATTAACTTACTAAGACAGGGCTTTTTCTTTATAATCCTAGCTCTCCTGGAACTCACTATGCAGACCAGGCTGGCCTTGAACTCACAGAGATCCTCCTGCCTTTGCCTCCCAAGTGCTGGAATTAAAGGCATGTGCCATCACACCTGGCTTACATCTGCCCCACCCCCACCACCAGACAGAGTTTCTCTCTGTGTGGCCCTGGCTGTTCTGGAGCTCACTCTCTAGAAGAAGCTGGCCTGGAACTCACAGAATCCATCTGCCTCTGCCTCCTGAGTGCTGGGATTAAAAGCCTGTGCTGCCGCTGCCAGCACCTGGTATAAATCTGAAACTTATAGAGATAAAAGTTCCATGTCTGCAGATTTTGGAGACGTCTAGGTTTTGAGGGGTGATCACAGGGTCAGGTCTACCCCAATTCATCCAAATCTAAAATCCACTGTAGCTGGAAGCACTCATTCCCAGGCCTTGCAGCTAGGGAACACTTCACCTGTTTCCCATGTGTGTGTGTGCAACATGACACATACACATGGGGATCGAAGAGTGTGCAAGGCACTCGAATGGAGAGCCGTGTAGCCGGTAGCCTGGTCCGCTTACCTCCACAGAGGCACCTTTCCTGGTGGGGGCTATTTAAATGATTGGGATGCACCACTGTGGGCAAACATCATGGCCAGAAAGTATAAGGGTGCCAGTGTGGATTTAGCTGCCCCCAACAGCAGTAAGAAAGAGCCCTGGCCAGTCATTCAGAACAGCGGAACCAAAGGCTCTGGTTTCTCTCTGCTGTAGGTCATGGTGCACTGAGCAAGGCCACCGGGTGGAGCAGTCCTCTGATACTGAAGTCACACTACAAAGGTGACTTAAACAGAATCCCAGTTTAGCTGGTGCTTTCCTAGCTGAAAGGAGCAATCAGTTGATATTTTGGCAAGATTTCCTGAGTCTCCAATATTTCACCTGTTCATATGGAGTAGACACAGTCTGGGACATTAAAATAGAGCTCCACAGAGAAATTTGCTTGATGATTCTAAATTTCTTAGCTCGCTATTTCCTTTTAAATAAAGCATAAGGAGATTGTAATCTACACACACACACACACTTACTTCCAGGCCTTGGGAATTTTACCATTTTTTTTCATAAAATTTGCTCACCATACATCATTTGAATTTTCTATTAATTTCAGAAATTTGCTTCCAAGCAGTTATCTGTCCATCTAAAAGCCTGGGGCATTTTCTTCTCTACCTATAACACCAGCGATAGCTTAAATGGCATCATAGATATTTGTAATGTTTCCTTGTTTTGCCACTGTGATGTGACTTGTGAGTAGACTGTAACATTTTGAGTAAATTTTGGCTGGTACATCATTATTTGCATGTTATTTTACGTAAGCAAAATGGTGATGCCTTAATACGATGAGTGTTCAGGGAGTAAGACTATCCAAGGGGACTGGGAGAAATGTTTGGAGATGTAACAGGCACCATCGTGTACATGGTAATGTAGTCTGGGCATGTTTACAAGAATAGTAAAGGTCCGAACACAGCCGTTTTTGTAGGCAAACAGCAGTGAAGTCTTCCCTTGTCTCTGAGATTCATGATGTGAGGAGTATGGTGAGGGCCGAATGCGGATGGCGCCTGTCAGACATGTCAGCCATTCTAGAATCTTCAACATAGATGACAGAGATGTCCAAACACAAAAGCAATACGGTCCCAAAATAACCGTGGTGCCGGAGAGAACTTACAGATGGGTTTTTGCTTAGTCCGACTTCCTGGCCGCACAGAGAGAGGACGTGTACCAGCTTCTCTTTCGTTCTTTTCTGGAAGATGAAAAACACAGGAAAGGTTTTCATTCTGGGGTCCTACGAGCAAATCTGCCTTCATACATACAGGTTCTGCCCACAGAACGTAAATGACTAGTTTTTTTTTTTCTGTCAGAATCCCCTGGAACTGGGTTACAGATGGTTGTGAGCTGCCATGTGGGTGCTGGAAACTGAACCTGAGTCCTCTGAAGCAATCAGTGCTCTTAACTGCTCCAAATAATAAAATAAACATTACTTACTTATTTTAAAGTGAAAGGTAACTAAAACAAGGCCCTCTCCATGTTTGAACTGTATAGGGCAGACCTGTTATTCAGGGAGGGTATGTGCTCTATGGAAATCAAGCCCTAGGCTTTTCCATAGCCATCTAAGAGTTCCTGTGGGATCTCTTCCTGTCTGTGAGAACTTTTAGTTTCAGGAAGTCTTGGCTTTCCATCCAGAAATAAATCTATTTTGTTACAGAACAAGCTTTTCCTGGCTCCAGTGAGATAATGTTTTTGCTGTCTGTAGACTGAAAGCACTCACTTATTCATAAAGCATGGTAAAGTTAAAATGAAGTAGATTTAAATCCCTTTGGTTTTCTTTAAGAACTTTCTTTTCCAGCCTCTTATGTATGGGGTCTCTTCTAGAATCAAGAGATAATGTGAACCTAGAGATGGTAATGTACTCAAGAACCGACCATAAAGCAGTCCTGTGAGTCCTTTTTTATCTGATGTTGCTTTGTTACATGGAAACTTCTGGAGGGTGCTATTCACCCAAAGATCTTCCTCCTCCTCCTCTCCTCCTTTTTTGAGGCAAGGTCTCTCTAAGTAGCCTGGGATGTCCTGGAACTCATGTAGACCAGGCTAGCCTCTAACTCACAGATCGGCTTGCTTCTGCCTCTCTGGGATCAAAGGTATATTTCTGGCTTAAGATTTTCATTCTTTATGGAACTTGGTTCACTTTTCTTTCCAACTTGTAGAACTACTCGGTATGGGGTCATTTCAAAGCCAGGCAGGAGGACATCCCTGCTGAAGGATGGCAGGTTTCTCAGATATTTCCCTAGGTTTTAGTCTCATTCTCTAATTTGGAAATCAATGGAACAAGGCCCAGGGCGGAGGAACCCTCCCCATCTCTTTCCACACCATGACTGTGATCATCGGCCATTGTAGTGTACCACTAGGCTCTGTGTTGGAGATGATGGTGAGCTGTGTGGTGTGCAGACACAGTACTGGACTTGCCCAGTACCCACTTAGCCTGCTTCTGCAGATGCAGGCTTGCTCTCTACCCTAGGAAGGTCTCCTATCTGCCACCTGCAAACACTGTGCAAGTTTCTTCTCCTAGGCTGGAGAAATGGCTCAGCAGTTAAGAGCACTAGTTGCTCTTGCAGAGGACCTGAGTTCAATTCCCAGCACCCACATGGAAGCTCACAACCATCTGTAATTTCAGTTCCAGGAGATCTGATGCCCCCTCCTGGCTTCTATAGATACAACATACACATGGTGCACAGATAATACACATGCAGGCAAGGCTCTCATACACACAGAATTAAAAACAAATCCATCTAATCAAAAGCTCCTCTTCCAGAGATACTGTGGATGTCAGAAGAGGGCGGGTCCCCAGCATGAAATCATCAGAACCCCAAACCATAAAAATCTGGAATCATTAGAATTTGCTGTAGCTCCCTCTCTGAGAATAGAGCTATCGAAGGGGACAGCAGGGACTATGATCCTGGGAAGGGAAGGAGGTAGGGCAGTAAGAAGGAGGGGGAATCCAAGGCTCTGGATCCTAACATCTGGATACTAGGGTGCAGCTGTGTTGACAGCCAAGACAAATGCTTCTGCCATCCCGATCTTCAATTCTTATCAAAAGCCCATGCACTAGCTAAGACTTAGTCAGCAGCCTGCAGTGCTATTGGGAGATGGCGGACTCGCAAGGCGTCGAGCCTGGTGGAAGCTAGGTTAGGGGTGGGTTCTCGCAGGGGGCAGCAGGACTCCCAGCCTTTCTTCTTTCTCTTTGCTTCCTAGCTGTAATGAGATGAGGGGTCCCCTCCACAGTAAAGTTCTGTCACAATGCTCTGTGCTGCCACAGGCTCAGCTACATGGCTGCGTGACTGAACTGGAACCTCAGGAGCCAAGCCAGCCTTTATTGATCCAGCCCCTCAGTTTTACACAAAACTAACATGGATGGGATAATAAATTCCTTTTCCAATTAAAATAACTTTTCAGTGGGTGTCTGGTACATGCCACTAAAATACTTCAGAACAATGCAGGAGTTTTTCCTGACAGTGATGGGGGCATCAGTGTTACTCACAGGCTGTACCCAGTTCCAGGATGATAACTAGACCAGAGAATTCTGGTAGTTCCTTCTGCTCTCTTTGCAAAGTTTGGCATGCTGATGTCAACTATGCTTAAGTTTATCCTCTGAGGACAATGTCTAGAAAGCTCTTTGAGTGTGTGGCCCTGGCTTCTCTTTATCAAACATGGCGTTTGGAGGACTTATTTGGACAGGGGTTGGGGGCAAGGGTCAGAAGTGCTTTCCACATTTGAAGGCTGCCACGTCAAAGGGAGACCAGACCAGATTTTGTTTGCAAGCCGTAAGAGAGGTAGAGCCAATGAGAGAAGAGGCAAGAAAACAGCCAGTGGCCTGTTCACAGATAAAAGGATTGACTTTCAATGTGAGAGACCCCATTGCTGGAAGGGCCGGGGTCTAGATGCCAATGGGGTGGTGGTGATTGGCCGAGTTTCGTTTCACGTAGGGCACTCTACCTGAGAATACTGGGGTCTTTTCCAGCTCACAGGAACAAGGACATTGGAGTTAGAGCCTGAGGAGGTAGAGGACGCACTCCGGGTGACGGCCATGGCCCTTGGCTTCCCGTCCCGTCCAGAGGAATTCTGGAGTTCATCGTACCGTCTCCCAATGATTGGAGTCTGGAGAAAGAATGATGCAGACATTATGATTCCATCTCGACACTTCTACAGTACAAGGAACCTAGACGTAATTAAAAACTGACCATGTGGAAGCTGGGTGAGGTGGCACACACCTTTAATCCCAGCACTTGGGAGGCAGAGGCAGGAGATCTCTGAGTTCCAGGGCAGCCTGGTCTACAGAGTGAGTTCCAGGACAGCCAGGGCTACACAGAGAAACATTGTCTTGAAAACCAAACCAAACCAAACCAAACCAAACCAAACCAAACCAAACCAAACCAAACCAAACCAAACCAAACCAAACCAAACCAAACCACCGGTCAGGTAAGTAGAACCAGATCAGACACAGAAACTCAGTGTTATACCATGGCTCATTTTCCTGGTGTTCAGTACAGGTTCTGAGCTGTTTGCATAATGAATATCTCCCCACTTGTCAGCAAGAAACCATTGCAATGACCTCATTATGCTTTAAATTGTAGTGATGAAGACAGAAGCAAAGTGAAGAAGATGAAGCCAATTTTCAGATGTGTAAGCTTGAAGGAATCATTCATTCTCTTTTCCTCTCCTCCTGCTCTTCTCATACCACCCCTAGTCTGTCTGTCTATCTCTCTGTCTCTCTCTGTCTCTCTGTTTCTCTCTCTATATATATCTCTGTTCTGCCTGCCTTGAACTTGTTCCCTAGACCATGCTGGCTTTGGGTTGAAGCCTCTGTTTTCTGTGTGCTCCAATTACAAGCTTCTTTCACCAGACCAAACTTTCAATAATATCTCAAAATAAATAAAATATTAAAATTCATTTCCTTCTCTCCAGTCTCTAGTCACCAATCTTTACATACTCTCAGTTATTGACAATTTTATCTAAATTATTTCTACCATTTCAATTATTCAAACAGATGAGGCATGGCCAAAGTGTTCTTTTTCTTTTTTAAAATTTATTTATTTTATGTATATGAGTATACTGTAGCTGTCTTCAGACACACCAGAAGAGCGCATCAGATCCCATTACAGACAGCTGTGAGCCACCATGTGGTTGCTGGGAATTGAACTCAGGACCTCTGGAAGAGCAATCAATGCTCTTAACCACTGAGCCATGTCTCCAGCCCCCAAAGAATTTTTTGTTTTGTTTTGTTTTGTTTTTGTTTTTCAAGACAGGGTTTTTCTGTGTAGCCCAGGCTGTCCTGGAACTCACTCTGTAGACCAGGGTGGCCACACACTCAGAAATCCACCTGCCTCTCTGCCTCCCAAGTGCTGGGATCAAAGGCATGCACCACCACTGCCCGGCCTTTTTAAAGTATTTTTAATAATGCGTGATAAAGTTCACTTTCTGAGGCTCCTACAGTATGTCGTCAGGCGGAAGAGCACCTTTTACATTCTGCCTCCCACGAGGTCTCAACTGGAGAAACTTGAAGTGGCAGAAACTGACTGGAACCTCCTGTACTATGGTCCTACCGGTCTGGAGCAGTTCTGGGTCTCTGGAAATTGAGGGATTCAGATTAACTGGCTAATGCTTTCTCTACTGACCTCTGGGAAAGCACTCAGTGCTCTTAATCTTTGGATCAAAACAAATTCAAATTAAAGGCTGAAAAATAGCCCCACCCCCAGAAAAAAGTTAACTATGGCTGTTGACTTAGTAACTTTCTATCATTTCCATCCTAAATATATGATACAGGGGTCACATCTTGAACTCAGAAAAGGTGACTGTCAATGAAGGAATCAATCTCTCCCTCCCCTCCCCTCCCTTACTTACCCCTCCCCTAGCTTACTCTCCCCTCCTCTCCCTTGCCTCTGTCTCCGTTTTGTGTGATCCATGCATAGGGGTGTGTGCATGCACGTGGTGGCCGCACACAGGTACCAGCCGTAGGTGGCACAAGTGGGATGGAAGGGTCTTCTCTCTTTTTCTACCTTACTTCCTTCAGACAGGGTCTCTCACTGAACTGGAAACTGGTTTTGTCTAGTGTGCCCTGTGAGTTCTCAGTGCCTGCCTTTCTCTACCCTGCAGTAGAGGGATTATGGACACACAGGGCTAACAATACCAGGCTTTTTACATGGTGCTGGGAATTTGAATGCTGGTCCCTGTGCCTGGAGAACATGTGTTCTTACCCACCGAGCTATCACCAGCCTGTAGTTTCCATTTTTAATAATTCCCAATTGAGAGCCCTACACCCATTCATTCTTAAAGGAACAGAACCTAATTTAGGCTTCAGATGTCTTCATTTAAAACAAATGTAAGTCTTTCTCTCTCTAGGCACCTGCTTTTACCCTTTGGCATCATATATTCAGGCTACAGAAAAAGTCACAGTAGGTCAGGACCTCTGAGATGTCGAAGTGGAAGTCCAGGGTCTTGCCCGGAAGTTCCTTCGAGGCGCTGGTCCACACCCGGTGGAGCTCTATCTTGGAGAGGTCGCTGTGTTGGTAGGAAGGCAATACCAGGCTGGCCGATCGAGAAACGACCAGCTTTAAGATATTCAGCGCTTCCCTCCAGTGAATGCTCTGTTGGCAAGAAAAATCCATGGATTAAAAGAAAGTCCATGTTTTCAGATCCAACGCTTACTACCCAACAACCTGGTGACCTGTCAGAATTCACCGGCTTAAAAATGTCAAGAAAGGTTGTAGCAAGGAAATGACTAATAATATACAGAACCACACTGAAGAAATTAGCAAATACAGATCTGCTGTGTCCGTATTGAAATCACTTAAGTCAGCAGTTCTTAACCCGTCCAATGCTGTGGCCCTTTAACCCAAAACCAGAAAATTAGTTTTATTGCTACTTTATAACTGTAATTTTGTTATCTGTTATGAGTCGTAATGTAAATATCTGTGGTTTCTGATGGCCTTAGGCGGCCCCTCCCGTTAAAGGGTCATTCGTCCCCCAAAGGGGTCGTGACCCATATATTGAGAACCACTGACTTAGTTAAAAATTCCGAGGTGTTATCATTTTTCAAAAAGGTTTATTTATTTATTTTATGTATGAGCACACTGTGGCTGTCTTCAGACACACCAGAAGAGGGTGGTCAGATCCCCTTACAGATGGCTGTGAGCCACCATGTGGATGCTGGGAATTGAACCCAGGGCCTCTGGAAAAGCAGTCAGTGCTCTTAACTGCTGAGCCACCTCTTCTGTCTGCAAGCTACCTTATGTTGACAAAAAGAGAAGAGCTTCACATGCGTGGTAGACCGATGATCGTTCATGGCGGAATTCATCGTCTCCAGGTCCTGTCTTCTCGGTTTTACCATTTCTTGGATCTTGCTGCTGCTCTCCTTTCACTGGGAATACTGATATCTTTCAACCTTACATCACATCCTCCTCATCACCTGACACGGGGATGGGGCTGCTTCCCACCCCTCCCCTTACACCCTTACCCCCACCTTACATGACATCCTCCTCATCACCTGACACGGGGATAGGGGTGCTTCCCACCCCTCCCCTTACACCCTTACCCCCACCTTACATGACATCCTCCTCATCACCTGACACGGGGATAGGGGTGCTTCCCACCCCTCCCCTTACACCCTTACCCCCACTCTACACCGTCCAATAACCTGGTCCCTGCAACTCAGCAGACTTTACCTTGCTTAGACCATTTCAATGGTTTTCTTTTAAAACAATGTATTTATAGCCTGGTGGCGGCGCATGCCTTTAATCCCAGAACACAAGAGGCAGAGGCGGGAGGATCTCTGAGTTCGAGCCCAGCCTGGTCTACAGAGTGAGTTCTAGGACAGCCAGGGCTACACAGAGAAACTTTGTCTTGAAAAGCTGAAAAGCAAAAAGATTTATTTATAGTTTTTGTATAGGGATGTGTGTGTCTGTGTATGTATGTATGTGTGTATGTGTGTACATGTACATGTCTCTGTACATACGGATGTGTGTGCATGTACATGCACATGAATTATTTTATATCTAAAATATATAAAGCTTGAACCGTTGGAGGCCAGAAAAAGGCACTGGATTCCCCTGGAGTGGGGTTACAGGCAGTTATAGGTAATCATATGCGTGCTGGAAATTGAACTTGGGTTTTCTGCAAGAGCGGCCAGTGCTCTTAACCCCCTGAGCCATCTCTCCAAAGTGAGCATCTTAACATCCCAAGAAAACAGGCCATGTGCTCTGAACTACTCCTCCACCTGTGAGTACGAACCCGTGACTGAATGCACACTGAGGACACAATTCCCATTAGCTCTTGAAAGATGGAGCAGAGGGAAAAAAAACTTAGAAATTAAATTTTACATTAACTATATGGTTTTGTCAATGTGATTAACAAGAAAAAAAAATCCAAGAAAAAATGTTTGCCCTTGACATCTGGGATGCACTAAGTACATCCCATAGAAGAAAGGGTTAAGAAGCCACCGGACAGAGAAATAGATGCCTCCACTGTTGAGTGTGGCACGCACCGGCCCCAGGGAGGTGGAATCTGGACTCGCTTCCATCTGTGTGTGGTCGCACAGAACAGATTAGCTTCCAGGCTCCAGACCTTCATCTGTTTTTTCTGATGTAGTCTCAGGACTTTAAAGAGGTGGTCCCTGGGCATTTGCTGACGCTGACCCTGTGTTCTGCTCAGTGGATGCTGGCCCACTGAAAGAAGAGTCATGCCTCTGAGCCAGGTCCAAAGGACCTCTCCGTGTCTATTAGCTGACATCTTGGCCCAGACACTGGTTGGTTTGTGTGTGTGTATAAATTTTAATTTTAATTAATTAGTTTATTGAGACAGGGTCTGGATTGGCCTGGAACTCATTATGTAGATTAAGCTATTTTCAAACTCTCAAGATCCTTGTGTCTCTTCTTCCTGAATATTGGAATTAAAAGTGGTGTATAGCACCATGTCTGGGCCTTTTGCAAATATATTATAGTATATATTATACATCATATTTTATATATTATGTATATTATATATATTTGAGACAGGGTTCCCTGGCTGTCCTGGAACTAACTCTGTAGACTAGGCTTGCCTTGAATTCCCAGAGATCCACTTGTCTCTGCCTCCCAAGTGCTGAGATTAAAGGTGTGCACCGGCCATTGTTATTAATATTTAAGGGCTGCTTGTTATAGAAATACTAACATATATACAGAAGCAGAGGCTAACATAATAAACTGTTATGTTCTTATCACTTATTCACGCTTTCCCATTCTTCTTCATTTATTTCTCCGATTCTTTGGTTGGTTTTTGGAGTATTTTCAGCCGTATGATTCTAAATGCCAAAGTAGCAAGCTGGTCTGGAACTGGGCATGCGCATATCGTCTTTCTCACTGGTCCGTCTTTCCAGCAAGGTATGTGCTTGGAATATTCAGCCCTTGGGCGCACAAGAAAGCTCTGCCCTTGAAGCAAAAGAGACTCAAGAAGGTCTTTTTCTGTCTTTCTTCTAAAAATGCCACTCAGGATGTGGCCAGCTAGCATGCTTGTCTGTCGGTGGTATGTCACGAATATGAAGGAATGAAGCCGGGTCTCATGCCGGATGGCTTTATACCCAAGGGATTAGTCATGGCTCCGACTAATGAGTGAATCTACCCAATGCTCACCTGTACATATTTTTCAATGGTCTTCAGGACTTCCATGTTAAACTGCTTGACAGGAACTACAGACAGGTCCATGTAGCTGAGCAGACTGTAGATGACTTGCAGGAGCGGCTGCTGCATGCTGGGGAGGCCTTTCTCCAGCAACTGCAGGAGGCAAAGTGTAGCCAGTCAGCTCTAGCATCTGTGCAGGAGAAGCACCCAGGCGTTCCCACACCCCTCTCTTTGTAATGTGCTTAGGAGAGTAGACAAAACCCCTAGCTACTTTTGTCTTGTCTTGTTTTGTTTTTTGAAAGCCCTGAAGTGCCTTCCGCCCCTGCCTGGTCCTCTGGGCTGGAGCAGACACAAAGTCAGTCTGCTCCTGTCCTGTTGAGAAACTGAATCCTGAGTCATCCAGGAGCCACTGCACTCAGAGCAGCTGGTAAGAACTCCATCTCACTCCCTAAGGCCCAGAGATACATCTGGGAGCCAGGGACATTCAGGGCACAGCAGCTACCCAAACCCTGCCCCTCTGGAATTCCACTTCCCTTCCGCCCTTGCCTGGTCCTTTGGGCTGGAGCAGACACAGAGTTGGTCTGCTTCTGTCCTGTGGAGAAACTGAATCCTGAGTCATCGAGGACCCACTGCACTCAGACCAGAAGGATTTCCAGATCCAAGAGGTGGCCTGAATCCCAGGAGTTCTTCCACCCAGGAGATTAGGAGCCTAAGACCACAGAGACCTCTGGACTCTGAGGAGCTCTGCAATAAGCAAGATAACTGGAAATACAGACTCCAGTTTTACACAGTGAGGGCAGGTACCACTAGAGTTAACCAGATGGCGAAAGGCAAGCGCAAGAACATAAGCAACGGAAACCAAAGTTTCTTGGCATCATCAGTGCCCAGTTCTCCCAATATAGCAAGCCCTGAACACCCCATCACACCTGAAAAGCAGGATTCAGAATTAAAATCACTTCTCATGATGATGATAGAGGATTATAAGAAGGAATTAAGTAACTCCCTTAAAGAAATACAGGAGAGTACAAGTAAACAGATAGAAGCCCTTAAAGAGGAATCACAGAAATCCCTTAAAGAAATGGAAGAAAACACAAAGAAGGAATTAAACAAAAACATTCAGGATCTGAAACTAGAAATAGAAACAATAAAGAAAGTTCAAAGGGAGACAACCATGGAGATAGAAAACCTAAGAAAGAGATCAGGAGTCACAGACGCAAGCATCACCAACCGAATACAAGAGATAGAAGAGAGAATCTCAAATGCAGAAGATACGGTGGAAAATATTGACACAGTTGTCAAAGAAAATGAAAAAAGCAAAAAACTCCTAACTCAAAACATCCAGGAAATCCAGGACACAATGAGAAGACCAAACCTAAGGATAATAGGTATAGATGAGAATGAAGATTCCCAACTTAAAGGGCCAGTAAATATCTTCAACAAAATTATTGAGGAAAACTTCCCTAACCTAAAGAACAAGATGCCCATAAACATACAAGAAGCCTACAGAACACCAAATAGACTAGACCAGAAAAGAAATACCTCCCGTCACATAATAATCAAAACATCAGATGCACAAAACAAAGAAAAAATACTAAAAGCAGTAAGGGAAAAAGGTCAAGTAACATATAAAGGCAGACCTATAAGAATTACACCAGACTTCTCACCAGAGACTATAAAAGCCAGAAGAGCCTGGAC